CGACTCCAGAGTTTGTAACCTCGAGAGCGAAGGCGTCCTTAAGAGTCGATACACTTTCGACTGATTCTCGTATTTATTGAACAATTTATTGATTGGATTTGAATCCGAATTAGTTTTGCCTTCAAATGAATGCAAATCATAAGAGAGACCATCGATGAGGAGGACTATAGCCCTGTCGTATCTGTTGTCGAAACCACATCCAGGCGTACGACTTCTAACACCAGAAGAAGACAATGAATGGTTGAGCGGCTCTTCACAGGAGCTCTTCCTATGGATGGCCTTTCGGGTCAATACAAAACCGGTGCAGAAAAGCCAAACACCGATCGTATAAACCAAACAAATCCATAATAAAAGCACTGAATTGTATATAATATATATCTTTTGATTCATCTCTTAATTCATGTCTTCATATCATTTGTATTCAAAACTTTTCAAAACAATTCAAAACCAAAAGTTTTTTACTCTTAAATCAAAACAAAATGAGAAAACATTGAAAACACGTGACATTCAAAACGCATGCGTTTTCTATGCATTTGTTTACACTTTTTGATTATTTATTGTAAAGTTTTGTTGAAATTAAATGTGAAATATTTGGTTAAAATGATTGGCAATCGGTTTATAAGTGTTTTGCCGAAGAGGTGTCACATATTGTGGTGTTTGAGAGACAAAAGCAGTGATAAAGCGCTGATATGTCGGCGCCTGTCGTCACAGCAATCGTCGGACAATTTGGTGGTAAACGTGACGAAACGGAAGCGTAATGTGATGTCAGGCAAAGAGCACATGAATATCGGGACAATAGGACACGTGGATCACGGGAAGACCACTTTGACCTCAGCCCTCACCAAAGTGTGCGCCGACAACGGCTTCTCCCGATACGTGTCCTAAATGTGATGTCAGGCAAAGAGCACATGAATATCGGGACAATAGGACACGTGGATCACGGGAAGACCACTTTGACCTCAGCCCTCACCAAAGTGTGCGCCGACAACGGCTTCTCCCGATACGTGTCCTTCGATGACATCGATAAGGCTCCGGAGGAACAGCTCAGAGGTGTGACCATCAATGCCTCGCACGTGGAGTACGCGACCAAAAGCAGACATTACGCGCACACGGATTGTCCCGGACATCGCGATTACGTGAAGAATATGATTTGCGGCACTTCCCAAATGGATGGCGCCGTTCTCGTGGTCGCCGGCAGTGAAGGACAAATGCCTCAAACCAGAGAGCATCTGATGCTTAGCCGACAGATTGGCGTCCAAAAGATTGTGGTTTATGTCAACAAATGTGATCTCGTGGACAATGAGATGAAGGAATTGGTCGAACTCGAAGTCCGCGATCTTCTAAATAATTATGGTATTTATTTATACACAATATTGACATTTATTTTGATATAGATTTAGTATTGATTTGATGAATAATGATGGTTACAATGGTTATAATGGTTCCAATAGGGTTCGAAGGCGACACAACACCGTTTGTCTTTGGATCAGCACTGATGGCACTCAGCGGCGATAAATCAGAATTAGGAGAGAAATCCATTTTAAAACTCTTAGAAACGCTCGACACTTATCTAACTGTTCCCGAAAGAGACACAAACTCAGCGTTTTTGATGCCAATAGAGTCGGCGATTGTGATCACTGGGAGGGGAACTGTTTGTGTGGGAACTGTAGAGAAAGGGTCGATAAGTAGAGGCGATCCGATTGAGTTGATCGGCTGGAATGAAGTGATCAAAAGTGCCGCAACCGATATACACATGTTCGGTATTAGGCGTAATATTTAAATAATTATTCAATTATAAAATAATGATCTCAATTATAGGCCGTTCTGTTGCCAGTTGTGAGGCCGGAGATCACGTCGGACTTCTCTGCAGAGGTTTGTCTCAATAATGTTTGAAACATTGCATATGTTTTGAATTGTCATAACTTGTAAATTGTAATCACATTTACCGGTAATACTATTTCAGGAGTAAAATCTTCGGGTGTGAAGATAGAGAGGGGAATGTATGCCAGTAAACCGGCCTCTCTTTCGCTCAACAATCGATTTGAAGCCAATTTATATTTGATACCCGCGGGAGAGGGCGGTCGGGCAAAGCCTATATCTCAACGATTTATTCAACAGATATTCAGCCGTACGTGGAGTGGAGGCGCGCGGCTCGACGTGCCCTCAGAGGAAGGCGGCATTCTTATGCCCGGAGACCATTCAAAAGTACATTTGACACTTCAATTCGGAATGCATATGAATATCGGACAGTCATTCACCATAAGGGAACACTCACGCACTATCGCCTCCGGAATTATTACCAAACACTTGGGCACTATTCCTGTGCCTAAAAATCTGGGTGTTTTGCAACTATAGTAAGAACTACTGGATATAAAATAATTATATAATTAAAAATTAAGATATAGTACTGATGACTGAGTTTGTAATTAATGTAAGTCTTTATCAAATCTGTGTTCCGGTGTTTAATTGCTACCAATTATTATCAACAAATTGTTTACAAAATGTGTGAAATTAATGTAAAATTGTAATAATCTTTAATACATTTTCATTTAAAAAGTAGTTTAAAGTGATGTGAAGGAGTGATTGCAAACAAATTGTTTAATAC